CCGAATGCCACATGAGGACTTGGGCTAGGATGTTAGCAGATATTCTCCTCACGTTATGTTGGCGCCGGTCGGTCACCAGTCGGACCTCGCACGCATTCCCATGCATTATCACACACCTCGCACGGTGTGCGTGTTGCGCTCGAAGCTTCTCATCCCAGCTTCCATGGCCGCATCCGAGGTGAAGCACGGCCGGCCGGTGCTGGGACGCCCTCCCGAGTCTGACCGATGTGGAGTGGCGGGAGGAGAGCACCCGGCGCTCCTGGTCGCCACTCGGGGCCCCGGCGCCGCCTGGCGTGTTTATGATGACGCGTGGATGTCGAACACCGACCGTAATCAGCCGCCGCGCCCAAGGACGCGTCGGCCGGACGGCGGCTTTAGGAGCGCCGTAGCCTGGCGTCGCGGCTCTAAATTAGAGGTGTTCGTGACTCACTTTGTTGCACGACAATCCTCAAGACATTCTATGTTCACATGCCTTAAATGTATCCTGCCTGTTTATTAGCGATATTCTACCACACCTTTAATTCGGTTCCTCGTCCACATTTGCGGCCAGCGCGGAACGGTCCTGACTCAAGCTGTTCTAATTTCTCCTGCACGAGTGAGCCGTGCCGTACAATGTGCGAGCCCCGACAGCGGCCGGGGCTCCGAGGCCGGTCGATGGCTCGATCGATACGGCTCCGAACTGCTTGCTTTCTCCCTGCAGGAGCGCTACCGAAATGACCTTCATCTGGCCATACAGCTGCTGCAGTGCAAGCCGTCGACTTTCATCTCCCGCCGACTGGAGACGGTCAGTTACGTCACGGGCTCACACGGGAAATTCCGATGACGTCACTGGCTCACACTGGGGGTGATCAGTCACGTCATTTTCTGTCGCACGCTAGAGGTGCCATGTTCGTTACCGTCTGTCGGGTCGTTTGAAGAGCGTCACGTACACAACGCTTTCATTTTTACCTGAACGATGCGCTGCTCGCCAGAGATGTTCGCGTAGCTTCGTGCTTTGGATCACGCTGGGGCATTGTGTAAACTCACGGTGTGCCGGCTGCCTGCCGCCTGTCCCGGTCCCGTCCTAAGATACGGCGCATTGCTGGTTGGGGACTGTGATCGTGCTTGGGGTGTTTTGATGACTGACATGGTGATTTGCATCGTTTACCGACGTGGTGACTTGCATTGTTGACCGAAATAGTGACTTGCATTGTTGACTGACATGGCGACTCGCATCGTTGACCGATATCGGGACCTGCGCCGGTGGCCGGAAAATATGCGACATTATGCATTGCGGCTAAGTACACAGCACGTGCCGCACGACTTGATTTCACAACAATCACTTTCGCTTCGGCGCTCAGTGTAAGATAATACAGTGCACAAAAGCGCAATGCCATATGCAGTAAAGACTGTGCACTAGACAAGGTAGCACGTCCAGTGTAGTGCATACATACATCATCAGCTGAAGCCGTCCGTCTCCTTTCCGCCAGCTGCCGGTGGACCTGCAGCAGAAGGTCAAGTCCTGCCTCAACAGCCATCAGAAGGAGGCGCGCAAGCCCGACTTCAAGGTGATCAAGGTGCCCATCTCCACCTTCCCGCCCACGGCCATGGTCTACGCCGTCGACAAGGCGGGCGAGGGTAAGTGTGTGAGGCCAAGAGGGGCGGCGAGTGTCGGCAAAGAGCTTGTCAAGCGCAGAGGGAGCCACCGAAGGTGCTTGGCCACCGGGCTTTGAAGGACCCCAGGCGGCGTCGGAGGTGATCGCGAGAGTTACCGTCCTCTTGCCGATAATCACCGGGCGCAATGTCCCCGATCCCGCCGCTCGGCGACGCTTGGCTGCAGCGGCGGCGCCTCCCCAGGCCGACCGCGCTCCGACGAGCCGCTCGTAATGGGACCCGCGGCGGGTCGGTTAATGAAGGCCGGCGATCAAGGTACAGCCGACGACCCCTCAGAGCGTTGGCGGCGAACGGCGGGCGCCGGGCTCGGCCGACCCGGATCCGCGTGCTCCGGTCCGGCGGCGGCCGAGATAAGGGGTCGACCGCGCGCCGCGGCGGGTCGATTTGCCGCGGCTCGGGGTGTGCTGTCGCGGCTGTTGGGCGTCAGGCGCCGGGCGAGGGCAGCCGCTCGACAGGCGACTGGACAGTGGCCTTCGGATGGGGACGGGATGTGCTCGGCGGAGACGGGCGTGGGTGTAGGCCGGACACCGCCGTGGCTCGATTGCAATGCCTCCTTTGCCTGTCCGTCGTAAGACCGTGCCGACCCCACAGCCAGACCGGCTTCATTCCCGGTGCACGCTTGTGAGAAGCGCCAGGAGGGGCCAGTGACCCCGAGCCCGCGCGTGTGACCACCTTCACTGCTACTGTCAGCGCTGTCAGCTGGGTTGGTGACATTTGTCGCGCCGGAGCTGGTTTGAGTCGTGACCTGTGCTTCTGTGCTGTGGCGGCGGGCCGTCGACTCGCCGCTGCCCCCGCCCACGCCAGTCACGTCGTCCCCGCCCCCCCCCCCCCGCGCCCTTCCCCGTCATCAGTCCACGCTCCGCCGCTGACAGCTGGCGTCAGCCTGGCCAGGCCTGCCGGCTGACCACCGGTGGCAGGTGTCGGGAGCGCCACCAGCGGACCCCACGTTACGATCACGGTTTAGTCGAGTAGTTGTGCAGCGTTAAGATCCACTTACAAAAAGGGGCAGATCTGGTTCTGCGTAATGTTGCGGCCTATTTGTCTCAGCAGGTTATGACGGACATGTGATGGTAGTGGTGGCGGCCATTTCATTAGGTGGCGCCACCTGATTCGTGTCACGCCGTACGTCATGGTCAGACAGCAGAGACGCTCTGTGAGCCTGGGACATCATGGTCAGACAGCAGAGACGCTCTGTGAGCCTGGGACATCATGGTCAGACAGCAGAGACGCTCTGTGAGACTGAGACGTCATGGTCAGACAGCAGAGACGCTCTGTGAGCCTGGGACATCATGGTCAGACAGCAGAGACGCTCTGTGAGACTGAGACGTCATGGTCAGACAGCAGAGACGCTCTGTGAGCCTGGGACATCATGGCCAGACAGCAGAGACGCTCTGTGAGCCTGAGACGTCACGGTCAGACAGCAGGGACGCTCTGTGAGCCTGGGACGTTATGATCAGACAGTAGAGACGCTCTGTGAGCGTGGAACGTTAAAGTCAGGCGGCAGAGACGCTCTGTGAGCCATGCGCCAACGTTCATTAAGCACTTCTTTTTTAGGGAATTACTTTTCTCTCCAAGGCTGTAACCATCAGGCTACAAAGGTTCTGGCTTGGAAGTGTAGGCAGCTGCAGTCAGTACTTAGAAGAAATATATATTTTTTCAGAAAACATGGTGGCCCTACCGTACCACTCAACAAGATCTCGTGTTTGAGTGAGGCACGCTCGGCCCAACTCTTTCGTAGTTTATGTCCGGTGTTGCCAAGACCTGTTGTCATGCTCGTTCTATATTTCTTTCGTTCCTTTATCTCACATTCCACCCTGCAGTAAACTTGTTTCTCAGCGCATGTAACCTGTGCAAATCGTGTCTGTGCGGCATTGACCTGCCCCGCGGCGGTCCCTTCGGTCGCCGTGTCACTGACACTGGCCGTGACACCGGCAGCGGAGGAGCCCGAGCCGGACGTGGCCGAGGACGAGCGTGTCTCGGCCGCCATCCTGGCGCGCGTGCTGGAAGAGCGTGAGCGCGAGCGGACGGCCGGCTGCGCGTGCGGCGCCGGCGGCCGGCGCGCCGCCGCCGCCGCCGCCGGCCCGCTCGGGCCGCACCTGGTGGACGTGGCGTGCCAGACGCGAGCGCCGCACATCGGCGCGCGGGACGCCCTCTGCCAGCCGTTTGTGCTGGAGCCGGGCGGTAGCGGTCGGGAGCGGCGGGCCGGCGGCTCGCTGGACGCCGCGGCGCTGCCGCCGCCGCCGCCGCCGCCGCCGCATCCGCCCTCCGAGCCCGTACAGATCCGGCAGACGGTGGTGATCTCCCGGGGGCGGCCGCCGTCAGCCGACGCCGCCGACAGTGCCTGGGACAACGACTTCGACTTCAGCCCGCCGCGGAGCGCGGCCGAGTCGGCCGCCGGCCGCGCCGCCGCCCTCCGCATGGAGACGCGCATCTAGCGCCGGCTGGCGGGCGGGCGCGCGCTGGCCGCATGGCCGCGCGCCCACGGGTACGCTAGTGCAATGTGGCGGGCTGGCGTGGCGCGAGACGGAGGGGCTGGCGCCACCTGTCGCGCCTCCGGCGGCCGTTGTGCCCAGATGGCGCCTGTGTCGGTAGGTAGACTTGCGGTGATACGGCGGCCGTGGCCGTGTGCCGATGCGCTGACGTCCGGTGGTCTCGAATGACATGACCGGCAGACAGCGCCCCAGGCCTGACCTGTGACTGGAGTTGGATGCGCAGCTTCGCTGGCGGGGTTGTCTACGCTTGCGTTTCTGTGGGGATGCGGTGCACTAAATTAAGATGCGTTGTTGTATACCCGCCTGTTTTGGTCCATTCACGATGCCTGGCTTTCTTTATACAACAAGCTTTGGAGGTGGTGATAGTTGACACATCAAACATCGCGACCTGTCTACCAACGCTAAGCTTCCCTTTGATACGTAATGTGCGGTAGGCCACATGTGCGCCGCGAAGGGCAGGTGTGCGACGGAGGCGCTTCGGGGAAGAGCTTCTGACCCATCCGCAGGCTCCAGACCAGACGCGCCTGACCACCTGACCGGCTCCAGCCTTGTGGTTGGATTCGTGTACACGTGGCGTCACCGTGCGCCCGGCGAGCTCCGGTATCGACGCTTGATCCGGGGAGCCGCCGGCCCGCTGGTGTCGGTCGTGTCTGAACCCAGTGGAGTCATTCCCTGACGGTGCCGGCGTGCGGTGACGCGCATAGGTATGTGTCAACGGCACAGTGGAAGACCCGGGCGATCGTTATTCTGCCCCGTCATAACATGGTCTAGTAGGTCCTCTAGCGGTGATAGCGTGAAGTGTATTCGGGCCCACCGGCGGAAGAGGCACAGGTAGCAGTTCAGGAGCGGTCGCTGGGCTAGGTTGTTGTGTGACGGGTGGGTGGCTGTAATGCGTTTAAACGTGCTACGCCATGCGGATGTAGAGCTCAGACGTGTTCGGGACGTAGGTCCGACCTGGAGTCACGTTTATTGCGTCGTTGATGCCATCTAGGAGAGAGAGTGCGCCCGCACCACACCTTTATTTTGTTATGTATTATTTCGCGTGGCATGGCCGGCACCCAACTGCATTGTGCCAACGGAACGATATCGTGAGTTGTGTCATCAAACCGGACGGACAGTTGTACATACATGTCCTTGCGTATGTATGTCCATTCACATGGCGGCCGCAGCTGCCGGCTGTCGGGGAGGCGGCCGTGGAGGCAGCGGCCGACGGCGGCGCCGCAGCTGACGGCTGTCGGGGAGGCGGCCGTGGAAGCAGCGGCCGACGTCGGCGGCGCTGCAGCTGACGGCTGCTGGGGAGGCGGCCGTGGAAGCAGCGGCCGACGTCGGCGGCGCTGCAGCTGGTGCGCTATCGGGGAGGCGGCCGTGGAAGCAGCGGCCGACGTCGGCGGCGCTGCAGCTGGCGCTGTCGGGGAGGCGGCCGTGGGAGGGTGGGGGGGGGGGGGGGGGGAATGTGGAGCAGCCGACGTCGGCGGCGCTGCCGCCGCCCCGCAGGCGGCTGACATCGGGATGAATCGGGGTCGGCCACGCTACACACGGCATGTAGATGATGCGGGTTCAGATATGTCGAACTAGTCAAGCGGCCAGTGTTAACGGTCCGACAGTCCCAACAGATCCTGTTTTAGGGGTTGATAGTTCTTATGCTGACAATCATATTGACGTCTATAAGCAACATTGATTGTATTGATAAAACAAGGTGCTCCAAGATGTCCTTGAGGTCATGAGCAGGGCATGAGAACACTGGTCATGAGCAATGTAACAGACAATGACCACGAGTGAGCATGGTTAAGCGTGAAGTGACCTTTGTGAATTAAGCCACGCGACTGCAGAAAATGCTCTGAATCTTTACAGACACTACCAATAAAAAGATACCCAATCAGTAACCCGGGCTCCCGCGTGCCAACACCAGATACCCGGTACTGTGCTGGGGCTGCGCGAAATACGGGCGGTTAAGCCGGAAGGTAACGACGACGGCGTACCAAATAAGAGGGGAGCCAGACACCACGGACATCGGGCGTCACGGGCATGTGGGCGCTCACATCGTAGCATCCAATGCATAGAGTTGTGCTAATGGGCGCCGGGAACAGAGGCGGATAGGCCGGAAGGTCCGGTCAGCCGTGTCCAAAATAGGTGTAAAAACTGGCAAGCACGCATCAGTGTTCATTGCAATGAAAATAGAACTGTCAAACGTGCCTCGTCTGAACGACGCTGCTCTTACCGAGTTCCGAGACGACCTTTGCGAGTTCGGCCTCGAACGAAGAGTACGAGTGTGCAGATATTCTAGTATCTTGAGGTCCGAGTTTAAGGCTGGCATTAGGTCCGGTATATTCCATGAGCGCGTGTCGACATACCACGCCATACCACATACACATACAACTTTCCAATTGACGCGAACGCTATCCGTAAAAGAGCGTCGCTAGAGTGTTCATTACGCCGGTCACGATGGCTCCACTTTATTTCTTCTACATCGCATACGTGGGCAGAGATAGCAGGAGAACTAAAATATTACGCTCCTAACGCGCAGTTTCCTTTCAGCACATTAGCTAGCACATGTGACCAATCCTAGTCCCATCTGGACACTGGGCTCTCCATGGCTGATCGAACTATAGTATGAGTATAGTATAGTATAGCTAATTTGATCGCTCGGCGACATTGATCTGCCCCCACAGCTCGTCCGCTGTAAACGGGTGTTTCGTGCGTGCATTAGTTGTTTGTTTCACCTATTTACTTTGCGAGCGTAACTTAGCATTAACCAAAAACGTGCGGCATAAGTGTCAGGCCGGGCTCGATGTTCTGCGTATCCATTGTCACGGAGAGAACAGATTCTCTGTGCAGGCTAAGCTCACATGACTGGGAGTCAGAAGATACACGCACTGCTCGCCGCATTCGTGATGTAAAGACCGCTGTATTGATAGCCGCGGAATGTCGGAGAAGAGAGCTGTTTGAAGTTGTAGGACTATCCGGTTGTACCACAGGTGTGAAAAAGTAAAATCTAGACATTTTCTGTGCGACGTTCCAGAGTGGAAAAATAATGAGGTGATGCTGATCGATATTTGAAAACAAATCTAGTTGTCAGCTCAACCAATGGGCTCAGATGCCGAAAATGCATCGCATCGCAAGTGCAAGTTTGGTAGGATGCCACACTGAGGTGGAAAAAATGACTCGATGCAACGCATCTAGTCAAGTTATTTAAGAGCGCACGTCTGCCTGGCTGTCGGTGTGTCAGTATGCGCACATTTTAGCCAGACGCACATCACAGACGTCGGCACTCGGATTGCTGTGAAATGTGCATGTGCGATGGGTTCAATCCAAGTGACAATCCACATCAATTCGTGTCCGTCGGCTATCGGTGCCGGCCGCCGTGCGCGCCAGGGGGGATGTTTTGGCATTTAGCAGGGGGACACTTCCTATTTGTGGAGGGAGCAAGTTGCGCAAACGACAAGCTATTGAAAACGTATTGGAGCTTGTGCAAATATTAATTACCCATCCAATTCGCAGCAAACTTCAGATTAGCCGATAAAATTCGTACACTGAATGCCCCACCATGTGGAAAAGTCTTACATAAGCAATCGTCCGGGTGATCTACGACTGCTCAGAGGCTCAAGATGTTGCCTGACATACATTTCCGTTACTCCTACACAAGTTAACGTTGCGTCATGAGTGGTGGCACAATCGTCCAGGGGTGTCTGTTCCTGTTCTATGAGGACGCTGCCCCTCTGCCATGCTGATGTCAGCCCACCTCACGTTTGTTTGAGCTCCAATACTTTTCCGGTATATGACAAAAATCGAGCAAAATTTAGCACATCACAGTAAGCCTGCCTTTTCAGGTATTGCGAGAGGTTTCCGCTGGCTCTGCTGCACGAAAAGGCAGCACCGTTGGCGTCGTCGGCTCCGCCGGCAACATCGTAACGTTGACTCGTGTCTCAGCAAGATGAAGTTTCAGCAAATTTTGGTTAACAGTCACGTAGCCAGAACTTTCCTCATGCGATTGGAGGGCAAACGCCAGTTTTCTCCTAACTCGGCGAATTTGTACCAAATTTTTGCGAAATCACCCACTATTTAGTACAAACCTTAAGGCTCCGGCGGGTCATGTTCCCCGTGGCCCCCGTTAGTTACGTCCTTGAACTAACATACTCATGGGGCGCTCGGACCCATTTCTCGTGCAACGCCCTTCCGCTTACTTGGGACATGGTACAATAATAGTTGTGTTTACGGGGAGCCGGTGCCGCAGGCGTCGCTATTGCGCCGCAGAAATAAAACAAAAGCTTCGGCTGTATCCCACAAAACACAAATGGTCTGATCTGTCTCCTTAACCGTCACCTTGATTCGCCGGTTTTCATAGCGCGGGCTGACAGAGGGGGGGGGGGATGTGTGCGACCCCACCCCTCTGGCGTTTTCAAACTAAGAAAGATAGAACTTAGCGGAAATCACCAGTTGAATAGCCTTAGCGAGCTCTCTCGATTGGTTACTAGCTTTCGTGTTGTCCAATAGTCGACTTCCATCATGACAGGTCAAAGGCCTAATTTTCCAGAAAGTCGCACTATTCAGCTTTACACCGTACCTAGCTGTGGGGGGGGGGGGGGCACAAAATTTCAACGGGCGCGTTTCTTGTCTGATCCTGAGTGGGACGGGAATTCGCATGACTTGAAGCCAGGGTATCAAATGTGCAGCTTGTTCGTTTTTATATTCGAGTATATTGTACCCACTATTACATTTTGGAAAATTAAATATTTTCTTCCTGTCCGCCACAAGCCTGTGATGATACCAAAATGAGCAATGGTTTCAAGCATGTTCGTTTATTCATGTCCTGAAAAAGTGAGTGTGGCGGACCACCCCTTGCCTCATATACACAATACTCCTGTGTCACATTGATGTTATATGTTCTAGGTACCCATATTGCGCAAAATAAGATCTCACCAAAGAATGCATTACTTGCATGAATCAAGACAACATGTAATTACACATGATATGGCTTGCTTTTCATGGAGCACCAACTCAATCCACCGAGAAGAAACTGCTTTCAAACAATCAACCAGCCTATAAACTATGACAAAAAGATGTCACCAAGACCCTAAACCTGAAGGCATCCAAAATTTTGCACTAAACAGAGGGCAGGTCCTATTCCAGTTTAGGGTTTTGCTTTACCTAACGTGCCCCAACATATGATCTACCACAAAACTTGATCATTTGGAACGTATCCACGAAATTTCCCGGAGTTCGAATAAAAAGACACACTTGAAATTAGCTAGAAAATAGTCCTTAGTTCGTTCTTCAGAACATTTTTCTGGGGCATTCTGAAAGATGCACACTTGATTAAATCATATCTATATAGGGCGGTACTGTGATCTGAAACAACCCCAGGTTTTTAGTGTCGGCTTTTCTTCATTGGCGAAACATGACAAAGATGTAATTTGGATGCATCAGCCAATCTGATTCTAGCCCCAAGAGCAGCATTCTCTTGCTTCATTTGTGGCACTGTCTGTTGGGCAAGGGCCCGCGAATCACATTGGTCGGGGCCTCTGCTACAGTGCGGTGCTCCTGCATCGTCCAGGGGCTCAAGTGCCTAACGGTATTCTGCGTCAACAAAGTGGCTCGAGTCGGTGGGAGGCAGCTTTGCTCAACGGGAACGGGGACGCGACCCCGAATGGCAGATAGTCTCTTGCGTTGGTCGGGACCCTCAGACAATGAGTGGAAACATTAGAACGTATGGCGATTGTTCGCATTGCGGCGATGGGAGGGTTTTGTACCAGTTAAGGCCCCCAATGTCAAACGGTTGGCCTTACAATCCAATTCCAGCATCGGCCCGTTCAGCCGAACTGGGGTCTATGTACCAATAATTGGACCACCTGCGGCGATCAGGGACATTGTTGCGTCAATGAGGGTTCCTGTGTCCATACGAGGTCAACTGCGCGGATCAAAAGGCAGGGAGGGGATCCAATATCATATTATACATCCCTCTAAGGGCCTCCGGGTCGACGAGGTCATTCCGCCCCGCGTGGTCAGAATGGCGGTCGGAATACGCCCGCGGAGGGACGGAATGGCCCTGTCAGCCTTTGACCGGGAGGAATAATGTGTCACTTAGTGTTCTACTCAGCGAGTCCCTTTCCCAGAAAGAAATACGTTCACTGCAAGTACCACCAGGCGGCGGGCGCTGTGCGCGCGATAACGACCGTCGTAAAATAATGGTTCCGAACATCTTTCCAAAATTAGACTGCACCCGGCCGGGGGCGGAGGTTAATGGAGTGGAAACATCCCCCTCTCCTGAGATCTCCCTTCCAGACATCGTAAGGGGAAAGCAAAGATTCCGTTATGAAGGTCTCGTTCAATCGTGAAGGATGAACACCAAAGTTTGGACCTTGGGTCAAATGTGAGGATACCAGAGTTCGCGAAAGGTCAGAAACGATCATTCTGGTAGATGCAGTTAGACATATCTTAACACGTCAACACAGACATTGAAGGCGCAAAAGTAAGCGTTAAGACTGTGGTGAATCTATTACGACCATTTCTGTTTCTCCGCAAGAGTCAGGTCAGACCAGGCTACCGTTCAAAGCTGGTCTTCCAGTAGCCTATAAGAGCGATACGTTTTTGTTTTCGTTCACGATGTGCTTCTGACTAAGTTTGTTTCATTATGTGTAGCTGTGGGACAAAAGTATGCCAGACACAAAATATCATTTTAGGTTGGTCTAGAGGTCGTCTCAGGTCAAAGGTCCCTGGGTCAAATATCTAAACCATCAAAATGAAAAACGAGGTGCTAACCATATCTAAGTGACCAGTGCAGCGTTGTTCTGTGGTCAGGAGTAGTGTGCTGTACATCTATAGGTACGCAAGATTGCATGGCTCTTGCATGCATTACACATAGCTCATTCGACGCTGGGTAAAATATTTATAAGAAGCTAGGAACAGGCACGTTGGTACATGAAATCATACGTCATCAGCTTCACAGACACGATGTAGAGGTGGTTAGACGCATCGCACTCGTTCAACTAGCCTCTCCGCCACTGATGGCAGAGGCCGTTGCAATTGGATGACCTCGCCTGACCTTGCATGTACTTACGTGACCTACTGCCCTCATTATGCGTTTGAGTGATAGTACATCACGTTCTCAGCGTAGTGCTCAATTCTGCGTCCCAAAGTGCCTCATAAAACTGCCTAGTTTGAGCTCAGCATGTGTTTGGCAGAAGACACCCGTGAGGGTAAGTCAAGGTAACCCCGAACCCACCACCCAAGCGTGCCGTCCAGTTCAACAGCTAATTTTGCCTCCGCATTACCCGTTTTCGTTCCAAAGAGCCTTTGAGATGTGCCGACCTCCACTTCGACGTGAATATTTGGTGGAACAGATACGTAAACCTGATGATTGGCGTCAGCTGACTAAGCCGATAACGGCAATCACCCGGCAATGGCCACCAAAATAACACTAGCCGCGTCGAACATGCCTAACGCGAATGCTAAGTTGCACCCTACACCCTGCCTTGCGGCTACCAGCCGCCGTGTACCAGCAGTGTATATTTCCGTGGCAGCCTTAGATAGTGGCTCAAATCAACCTTACACCCTTTACTCTTGAAGCCGTGCACGTCAAACAACGTGCGAACCCACATCACATTTACTCGGCGTCGGTTACCGAAATCTGGTTCCGGCAATATTTCCTGGTCCTTGTTTTCCCGCCTGGCTTCTCCCTTTTCAGTCCCCAAAGCCCATTTTGCGAATTTACACCCCGTGGTGTCGTTTAATGACCGTATCACGCGACGGATTCACCACCAGATTACTCCATCGTCAGGTCTGGGACGCAGGGCCTATTTCCCAAGCAGGGATAAGGTGGGGGACCGCGATTTACATTAGCCGGCCCGTAAGTCAGAGAGGAAGCCCCATGCGTCGGTCCGAGGACCACGGTACCTAACAAGGGTCCTGTATTGGCAAGGAGCCCGAGCTGGGGAACGTTAGCTGAACAGGGACAGAGACTGGACCCTGAATGTTGGAGGGGCCACTTGTGTTGATCGGGACCTCTGACAGTGGAAGTGGATTTGAGAGTTTACGATGAGAATCCACTATGAGACCATGGAAACCCCAGTGACAGTTATCTAGTCGTCTCTGGATTCCAGTTTCACCCCTCCATTCCTGATTTATCCCCCGCGATTTCAGAGACGTGATCATGCCCATGCGCAAGAGAGCCAAAAATTCTTTCCCGAAACGGTATCTTGACCAATTTGCTCAAAATCAGTTGTCGTTCCCTGACTCGTTCTGGTCCTGCTCCATTTTACCGACATGTCGACAGCACCTACGTTTATTAAGCATTCTACTTCAGTGTTCAATGTCTATTAATTCGTTTTATTGGTGTTTGTAGCGGTATTTGTCTTGAAGCGCTGTAAAACAACGACTGTAATTTGGTAACCTTGCAACGCATTGTCGCCAGAAATGACGTTTTTCCATCTACACGAATATATACGCCTGAACTACGCAGTTACAAGCGTTGGACATCACAGGATGGCGTTAGGCTCAGAAGCGCCGTTCCGAATGCAAAGGCAACGGTGACGTCACTGGTAACAGACTTCAATGCGGCGCGGCTGCTACCCGTGGGGCGCGGGGCAGCTGGAACGGTGTGTGTTATTGCGCAGATGATGAAGGAAGTATTCACGGTAGGTCCATGTAACCACTAACCCAATTGCGAAGAATTTAATGGCGAATATGATAGTGTGTTCTGCTAGCTGGTGCCGCTAGCCATCAAAGTGCAATGACATAAGAAGTGAAAGCGTACACACGAGAATTGTACGAAATAGGACGGCCATAACATCAAGCTCTCCTCGTATCGATAATTAATAAACTGCTAGCGGCAGGAGCGAGTGAGCCAATCGTGTAGAAATCAACTTAGCATATGACGGCTGGTAAACCAATTATGTGTGGATTGGTGAGGCGGCAAATTATATTGGACGTATTTAATGCGCACGCGCATAGCTGGATGTCCTTCCATTGTATGTTGTCCGACAGGACTGTAGACAAATAATCATGATGATGATGGCATATGGCGATGTGCTTTGCAAGCTTACGAGGCCAATCGTTCCAGTGAAATAGGCACAAAAACTGAAAATGCTTACGCGAGAACTGCTCCAGAGTATGGCTGCCGGAGCATTGGGACTGCCTTCGTACCGATAGTGAACAAAGTGTGGGTGGAGCGTGCATTTAACCAGGGAGCTGAAAGTGAAGAATCGAAGGTTGAATATCATTATGTACTAATTGCAAGTTAATATGCCTGGCAGCACATTATGCCAAAATGTCAAAATACAATCAACGTTGAAATAGCGAAGACGTACACGTGGAAACGTGCAAACGTGCTATTTTTCTGGTAATAAGTACACTATTGCTGGCAGGTGCATACATCCGCGAACTGGTCAGGCAGAATTGAATTGTAAACATCATTATTTCCTTTGCGAGCCCATGCTCAGCGAAGTCTTTCAAATTATATCGGCGCGGGAAATGCACAGGCCTGCATAGGGTCGGGGGTATAAGGGAGGGGATGAGCCCTCAACATTCTTTTAGTTTTGGTCCCACGGGCGTTGGCTGGAAAGATGTGACCAAAATGGCTTTCGCCTCTTTTCCTAAGTTAGGAAATCTTATTTTAAAAGACATTCGCCACAGTGTCCAGATGAAGCTAAAGCGTTCCGTTATACTCCCCAGAAAGCGTAAGGGATATCAAAACCACTACTTATGCTCCAGTTAATGATGTTTTATATTAATCCGTGTTCAGCTATGTTTGACTGCTTTCTTGGCCAAGGGTGATATTTCTGGCAAGGTTATTAGTGAAGAGGCAATTTGCAGACATCTTTTTTCAAACCCATTGGCCACAATGCATAAGATGTTCTAAAAAAGAACCTATATTACCACGCAGACACACCAATGGTCTTGGCAGAATCCTAACTTTGCTAGAGTGCTGAAGTTATGCTGACCACATTCGTAGTGTAGCGAAACGCGCAGAGGTGGGTTCGGCGTTCAGAAAACGTGTTCGTATATGCCACGTTACAGAGGGCCATTTTGCCGTTAGCTAGTCTGGTTACAGGGCGGCCGATAGCTGTGTGGCCGCGTGGCACGGTAATAGTCTTTTCGCGCTATTTGAATAAGTACCGATGGCAAAATGGATCAATTGACCATTCATAAAAATAGCGAGATGATGGGTTCGGAGTGCTAACAATAAATCCACTTCAGCACAGAATGAGCTTAAAAGTATGTGCCAGCAAAATTTGTGTCTTATGGATTGTTTCTCATTTCGTAGCTGATCTGCATCTATAATCTGGACTAACGATGCCGCACCAAAAATAAAACTATCTTACCCAACTTTGTTTTCTCGTTACACCTCACAACAATACAATTCGGGTCACAACTTGAAGAGGGTGTTCCACATCTATATGGGGTTTTGAACTGAAATAGCCATCTTGAAGACCTTTCTGGGCCGTTCACGGTCCTACCCTTGTTAAGACCAAGGCCCCTGTAGTTTCTGCGATATAGCCTCGCCAAATGGGAAAGGTGTATCGGGGAGAGTATTTCAGTCACCTTGGCATTCATGATGCTGTAATAACATCATTCAAATTTTGTCATTCTATAAGTCATTCAGCGATCAAGGCCAAGAAAAATGCAATTGTCGATGCGTTTATGTCACACCTTCGTGAGCGCAATTTCCAGATATAACGACCGCCAATTGGCTCTAAATCAATGGTGTGCAATGTATAGTAACGTAATCAAACCATGACGCATTGAGGATGATATTTACTAAGCAGAGAATTGTGCTGTCTAGAGCAGTCTTTTCGACATGTTGAGGTTGTTAGGCAAAACGTTTGGGTTCACGTTTGAATGACACAATCTG